ATCTCAAACTCAGCGAGCCTCCTGTCTCAACCTCCAGAGTACTGGGATTACAGGCATGCACTACCACGCCCAGTTCCTGGGCTGGCATGGCATGCAGGGTAGAGGATCGGACTCAGGTGCCAGGTAGGTGCTTATCCTCGGAGCTATCTCCCTAGCCTGAAGTATATATTTCTGATAAATTTATATCTTATGTGGTTTTGAAGATGCAAAGTTAAAAAACTAGGAAAACCATATTGGGTCATGAAGTCAAACTATTTTCCCGAAAACACTAACGTGCCATTTGCCTTACTACTCCCATTCTCCCCCTGTATACAGTGGAGTTTCCAGGGTGAAATGATGTACCATATTACAAAGACTGGTGCAGAAAATAGATATGAGAATCCAGCTTCTTTTTGGAAGTGAGATGTAGACATTTGAAAAAATGTAAACTCATACTGCTTTTCTCATTATACTTAATTTTGCTTTGGGAAGTTATATATATTTTACTTATTAATTTTGTATTTAGTATAGGATCTCATTATATAGATCCAACTTGTATTGATTCTTCTGTTTTTAGCCTCAAAAGTGCTGGGATTGTAGGTGTGCACCACCAGGCCCAGTCTTAATCCCAGTCTCAACGCACCCCAGGGGCCGGGCTGGCACAGCATGCTGGGGATCGAACCCTGGCCACTGTGCTCTGCCTAAGCAGGAGCTTTAGTCTGCTGAGCTATCTGGCTGGTGCAGGAAATTATAGCTATATCCATAAACATGCTATTTCAATTAATACAATATTTATTATTTAAAGGAGTTAATAAATATTTAAAAATTTTCTCAGTCTTAATTTTGAAGATACAATCCATGTAGAAAAATGCTGTTTGAGCTGGTGGCACTTGTTGGAATCCCAGCTATGTGGGAGGCTGGGGCAGAAGAACGGTGAGTTCAAGGTCAGCCAGGGTAGCATAGTAAGAAGCTGCTTCAGAGGAAAAAGAACGGGACCAAAGCTCTTTGAGATCCTCAAAAAATTTTAAGAATATATTAAGTTCCTGAGATTAAAAGGTTTGAGAACTGTTGGATCGCATCATTAAAAAGTAAGCCAAAAGTAAGTAAAAAGTAAGGAAACACAAGTGAATTTTTCCAGTCCAAGGCACTGGGGATCGAATCCAGGGCTTCAAGCATGCTAGGCAAGTGCTCTACTACCGAGAGCTTTATCCTTAGTCCTAAAAGTAGAATTTTATTAAAGAAATACTCTGAACACAAAACCCCATGTTTCTCTTTCTTTTCGGAGCTTTCTCTCCCCTCATGGCAGTAGGAGGCCCCTGAGATGGAGGTGAGGTGGCAGCGGTGGTCAGCAGCAGTGCCACGTGCTTCCAGGCTGGACAGAGCCGCACGGGAGCTAGGCCTGCGTGCTGGCTGCCACGTGCTGGTGCTGGGTCCTGGCCACATTACGCCTTGGTCTCTTGACCTGTATGGACGCAGGCCCACGTGGCACCTACCTCCATGAATGGCCCAGTGCAGGAAGGCCAGGACTGAGCCCGTGCCTGGCACAGACGTGGTGGGTCCTCAGCAGGGCTGTTCATGCTCCTATTCGGGCTCCTGGGCCCTTACAACAAGGCCGAACCACTTCCCTTTCACAGGCCATGCCGGGGCCCAAAAGTCGCTGCGTACTGCTTCAGACTTGTCTGTGCCTTGTTTCCTTTATATTTTCTTGCTCTGTTACCTTGTTGGATCTTGGGAAAGTTGCTTGACTTCCCTGGGCCTAATTTAAATACGATAAGGGCAGAGTAAGAGTGGGCTCTGGGTCAGTGCCTGCTGGGCTGAACTCTAGCCGTCATCTCTGCATGACCCAGGTCTTACTGTGTGATTCTGATGGGCCTCAGTTTTGTTCTCTGTAAAGCAAAGCTTGTGACCACAGCCTCCTTATGAGGTTGTGGTCACAATGAAATGAGTTAACATAGAATAGTCACATATATACAGCATTTAGGACATTGCCAGGCAACCAGGAAACACACAAATGCTCCAGAACTTCTTGCTATTAGCTACAAAGTGGGATTAGGATTTTTGGTCTGAGCTTGGTGAGAAATATTCTTACTGCCTATTACTGTCCCGATGGCCTGCCAGTTCTCCTCTTGTGGTGCTGGGGATTGGATGCAGAGCCTTCACACTGAATCATGGCCCCAGCCCCTTTTTATTTTTAATTTTGACACAAAGTCTTGCTAATGGAGTCTGGGCTTAAGTTCGTGACCCTCCTGCTTCAGCCTCCTAGAGTGCTGGGATCACAGGAGTGCATCACCACACCTGGCTTCTCTCTCTTCTCTTTCTTCCTCTACTTCACATTTAAAGCACAGTAAACTGCACTAGAAGGGACAGCAGATGACCAGCCAGCCTTTGGGCACAGCCAACAGTTCTTTCAGGTAGGACCTCAAGCACGATCCCTGTATTTCTGGTTGGTCCTCAAGTGCTTGCAGTACAGCTGACATTTATCAGTGTGGCTTGTCCCCAGCCCTTTGGAGCCAAGCAGCATCCTCTTCTGAAACGTTTAGCTTTTCAGTGTTAAAGAAGTAAAGACACAGCAGAAAGCAAAGCACAAGAAACTAAGAACATCAAATAAATAGTATTTTAAAAACAAATAAAATTGATAATACAGATGAAGGAAAAGCAAAATGATTTTTTTTTTTTTTTTTTTTTTGTGGAAGGGACCAGGAATTTAACTCAGGCCTTTGCACTTGCCAGGGAAGTGCTTATTCCACTGAGCCATCTCCCCCACCCCAGCAAAATGATTTTTAAAAAACATTTTTGCGGTACCAGGGATTGAACTCCGGAGCTTGTGCTTTCCAGGCAGGTGCTTATGCTGTCAGCTATCTCCCCAGTCCCAGCACAATGATGAATAAGACAACAAACAAACAAATGCCACTAACCAAGTCACTTAAACACCTTGCAATCTCACACTCCACCTGGGAGCACTGTCTCTGTCAGGGGGGTGCAAGTCTTGCTTTGTACACATACAGAAAGTGGTACGAACCTTTGGCTGAAGAAGACGGGACTTCTTGGGGCTGGGGAGATGGCTCAGTAGAATAAGTGCTTGCCTGGCAAGCACAAGGGCCTGAGTTCAATCCCCGGTTCTGCCAAAACCTGGGCAATTTAGCAACTTGGTGAGAACCTGTCACAAGACGGGACTTCTTGGCCTCTTTCTGAAATGACTGTGACCTCCACTTCCAGATGAACCCAGATTACCGTGAGAACCAAAACAAGGAAACCAAGACTGTTTCCATTTTCCTATTTCATTCTTTTTCCTTGGGTGTGTGTGTGTATGTGTGTGTGTGTGTGATCAACTTTACTATAAGAACTTTGCAATATGCAAATAACTTACTCTTTAATCGGGAAAAGCAGCCATGCAAAGCGGAAACAATTATTTAGTCAGACACCAGGATATTTAGGAGATACAAAACCATGTCGTCCCAGTGGCTGGTGGGGACCTGCTAGTTTACACAGGGGGATCAGGGAAAGGCTTTCTGACAAGCAGATGTTCCAGGCTGAGGCATGAAGGAGGTGAAGCAGAAGCAGGGCTTGGCTCAGGGAAAGCGGACGCAGACAAGGGCAGTGCAGGCAAAGCCCTGAGGCAGAAACACGCGTGGTCTGTGGAAGGAACCCCAAGGAGGCCTGAGGGGCTCGAATAAGGAAGCATCACCACAGAAAACAAAGGCCCAGGGAGAAAGGGCTACGGGGGCACGGGGAGACAGACCAGGCGGGGCTTTGAGGAGGCATGAGAGGGCTGTGGGACCTAAAGTGACATATTAGGCGCTTGATATTCTGCAGTGCACACCTGAAAAGCCACAGAGCCGGACTGTGGGTGGGAGAGACATGGGATGCAGCTCAAGGAGCCCGACAGGGGCAGACGTCCTGCTGTGAGACTCAGGCTGAGGGGCGCTGGTTCCTGTCCATGATGATGGACAGTGTGGCTCAGCTCAGCCCTGGAAATTCCAAGGAACACTTCCCCATTTTGCACCCTTCTGTACGGGTGTATGGGGAGGTGCAGGATGGGTGTGAATTGTACTTGGCAGGAGAAACAGCCTCCTTTTCTGTTCTCTGGCCTGGCAAAGGATCTTCTTCTCATCATTTAATGACCCAGTGAAGACTACAATCTGACAAGCACCAAAAGATGTTCTCATACTGGTCACTTATGGCCCTCAGAGCAGCCTTGTAAGACAGGCAGGGGACACAGCCAGAGATGTTCTGCCCGTATCACACAGCCTGTTGGTGGCAGCCAAGGAGACAGCTGAAACTCATCAGTGCTGAGTTCAGAATCTTCTAACAACAACCCTGTTCTGTGCCTCCCAGACTTGGCAAAGTGGGTTACAGTTTGGATCTAGAATGTTCCCCAAAGACTCGCACCATCAGAAGTGAGTCTTCCCATAGATGAAGGGACCAGGGGGTTAGGAGACACAGTCTATAGAGACAGGTCTCGGAGGGCCTGACTGGGAAGGACACATCTCCTACACTACCTCTTTCCATGACATGAGCAGCCTTCCTCCATGCAGCCCTTCTGCCTCCATGTCTGTGTTTGTGCCGCCAACCATGCACTGTAACTTCTAAAACTGTGAGCCCAAGTAAACACCCCTGTCTGTCTAAGCCGTAAGGTCAGGAGTTATGTCCCAGCCATGAGAAAGCGATGAGGCAGGAGGCGATGCCAAAATGAGGGCGATGCAGACACAAGGGCACAGTGGCGCTGGAAGAAGGAGCTACTTGGTTGGGAATGACACCAGGGCGCCCCGCTTCCCTGAGACCCAAGGGGCTTCATTCTCCTGTGCTTTCTGGTGACTGAGCACTGGCCTCCACAGCCCTTGTGTGATACTCAATGCGAGCCATGGGAAACACCACATGCAAAAGACCTACCTCTTGTAGTTCCATTTCTTTGAAAACCCAAGCATGCCTGGTTTCGCAGAACTTGTTTTTGGGTAAACCCTGGCCTGCATCCATTTGTAGACCAGAAGGGGAGGGGGAGAAACTAAAAGCAAATGACTTACTAAATAGACATCAAGCACAGAGGCGTTGTCGTCCTGCACTTCCATGGCGCTTGGCTCAGCCGTCAGGTAGATGGTCCCCTCCTCCAAGGTGAAGGTCGAACTCGAAGGTAACCCTTTGCTGAGAAACAAAGACAGCATGGTCACAGGGACTTCACAGCAAATCCAAAGACATTTCCTGGGTTGCACCAAGATGGGCAACTTAGGAAACCTTTATTTGAGAGTCATATCTAGAGATACCAGCATCTAAGTTTTTTAAAAATTGGTTTTACTAGTAGCGCAGTTTTGCTCTTGTGACTTCAGGCATGGTTGAGAGGTGATTTGTAGGTCCTGGGTCTTGTGAGCTGTGGATCCTGGGAACCTAGACGCTTCCTGGTTGTCTTTCACTTTGAGGAGTCAGTTTTCATTGCTTCTATTCTCCCCATATCTATTTGCATTTTGCTACTTCACAGAATTGAACTTTGTGTACCTTGCTTTCTGTTTATTTATTTCCTATTTCTTTTTTGGCCCAGAAAGTTCAACTACATCAATGTTTCTCCACCTTCAGTGTGCATCAGAGCTCTCCAGGGGGCTGGTCCCAGTGAGTTCCTTTGACCCTCTTGCAGAGATATAGATTTGAGACAAAAGCCTGATGTCCCAAGAGAGCAGGGAACACTGGACTGGGCCTGAGGAGGGTTGCTGTCTGTTTGCAAATTCCTGGAAAGCTGGGACCCAAAGCAGCAGATAACAGCTTCTCCTGCAGGTGCCCAGTCCTTTGATCCCTTGCTTGGGATGTTATTGGCTAGCATTTGTGTGAACCTAGTGTTAGGCAAATGGTGGAAGTCAATAGAGATAATAGTTTGTATTCACTTAGGTAATTATGCACATTCCTTAGTCTGCCTTCACCCCTCAATAAATGTGAGATGCTTCTGAGGCTCTGGGCTCACTTGGAGAGAGACTAATCTCAGTGAGACCTCTGAAGCTACCTTCATCAGGTCTTCTTGTCGTTTCTTTTGGCACTGACCCGAAACATACAACACCCTCTCATTGGAATTTCTGATTCAGAGGATCTGGCATAGCCCATGAACCTGCATTTGGGACAAGGTCCTGGCCGCTGTGGGTGCTGCCTCCCAATGCACACCTGAAATAGGGATGACCCTGAGGTGCACAGAGCATCGCATTACGTGTCCTGTGAGCATACCTGGTGTGGATCCTCACTAATGACACAGCCAAAGCTATGCTGACAGTCAGCAGACTGGGGAGGGAGGCACTGGACCAGGAGGCACCTGGACAGGAAGCACCTTGTTTTTTTGTGGTATCACAACCTGTGTGACCCGCTGAAGAACCACATGTTAAGGGGCCAGGGAAAGAGCTCAGTAGAATAAGTGCTTGTCTGGGAAGTGCAAGGTCCTGAGTTCAATCATCAGTACCGCAAACAAAACAAACCAAACCAAACCATACATTAATATAGGAGCCTAGAGATGTACATTTTTCCCTAATGACACAAAATTAGTTACATTTTTTACGAAGAGTCCTCAAGAAAATAAAACTAGAAATTCTATTTGACCAAGCTAGCCCCGTCTAGGTATGTTCCCGAATGAGGTGAAGACATCACATTGCAGTGAGATACGCAGGCTCACGTAATAGCAGCGCAATGCACAATAGCTGAGTCTTGGAAGGGGCCTACCTGTCTATCAGCGGATGAACGGATAAAGAATACATAGCTTTCCTACATAAGGCAGTACTACTCTGTGACAAAGGATACAGTTGAGTCACTTACTGTAAAAAAGGGACGCAGGTGGAGACGCTGACGTTAAGTGAAATAAACCAGAAGCACAAGCCTATCACACGGTTTCTCTTACATGAGAAACCGGAAGTACAAATAAAGAGCAAAATGAAATACAACAGGCAACAGGGAGACAAATCTTTTGCTCACGGAAAGGTCACCAAGAGATGGATAGCGCAGAGGAGAGGAGCAGGTAGAGAAGGACGATGCCTGAGGACGCGGGCCAGCTCCCCACGAGGAATGCAGTCATGTATTGAGAGCGTGTGCTAATCAATGTTAAAACCAAAACATCAGTTCTCTTTAATCTGTGTTTCCATTGGCCATAAGAAGGTCTTGCAGGAACAAAACCTCGGAGGGAGAGCTGGGCAGAAAGATGACCCTGGCGCTGGGGAGCTGAGCGGAAGGGACTCGTAGAGCTGTGGCTTCCCTGGGCGGTAGAGCTGAGGGCAGGTGACAGGGCGGTGGCTGTTCTGCCCTCCTGCATCGCCACCCTTCCCCATCCACTCGGGGCCCAGGGAGAAGCTTCCCTCTTCTGAAAATTGCTACTATGTCATCCCAGAGATTCTGATGCAAGCGAGCAGAGCAGGAGACCACTACGGACAGGGCCGCCGGTCCCTCCGCACTCTGTGAACTGCACCGAATTCTGTCTTTGGGAGGATTTACCTATTAATGAAAGGTGAGTAGAAGTATCCAGAAGCCTGACCTTTCTGATGACTAAAAAGCCTTGCCAGAAGAATTCTTTGGCCACTAACAGATAGGTTCACTTTTATTTTTCCTGATCAAGAAGTATAGGAAGAGACTGGGTGTGGTGGCACGTGCCTGTAATCCCACCACTTGGGAGGCTGAGAACAGGAGAATCACTATGAGTCCAATCTAGGTAGTGAGACCCTGTAGACCCTGTACTAAATACAGGAAAAAAAAAAAAAAACAAAAAGAAAAGAAAAAGAAGTACAGGAAGAAAATGGTAAGAGGTGGAAGGCAGTGCTGAGTGGTGACACACTGGTCTGGCCGGCATTCAGGTTTGCTCTCCAGCCCTGAGGAGAAAAAAGTAAAATGTACAGATCAGTGGGAAGACAAAAGTGTGGGCAAGGGCTCTTCTGTGGATCCAGGCCTTGGTGATGTGTGGGGGTGTCAAGGTGAGGGGTGCAAGCAGCCTCCCATTTGGTGGGACACACTTCCTGCCTCTCAGGTTCTGGATATAGCTGCCCTGGCCACACCCACTGTCCCCTCTGGGCCTGCTCTTCCTCCCAGGGGCACAAGAGCACTTTGTTTTTGTTTTTCTTCTGTATTTTAGGGAAGGGTCTACAGGGTGTTCAGGGTCTCACTGTATAGATTGGACTCATAGTGATCCACCTGTTTACAGCCTCCCAAGTGCTGGATTACAGGCACGCGCCACCACACCCAGTCTCAGCATGTCCTGGGGGGAACCGGCAGGCCCGGGGATTGAACCCCCCAGATCCTGTGTCTGCCTAATCAGGTGCTTTAATCGGCTGAGCTATTTGGCTGGTTCTACAAGAGCACTTTGGAAGGAACATGTTCATGTGGTTTCCAGTTGTTGGTTCTGGATAATTCTCGAGTGTACCTCAACCCCAAAGCCAAATTGACACCCAGAGCACGGATGCTTCTCCATAGAGAAGGTGGAAATCATACGTTCAGTTTCAAAGAAGCAAAAATTGTGAAAAAGTACAGACTCCAAAAACGTGTTGTTGATTACTTATGAATTTTGCAACAGGTCAGACATCATGGTCAAGGTAGACACTTCCTGCCAGCAATGAAGAACATTCCTGTCACTCCTACAAGTAAACTCTGCCCAAAGATACCAGAAAAAAGACTTCAAGTTTCACAAATGTAAATCAGGATGTATGTGTCCCAAAGGCAAGAGTCCAGCACCTTGATTTTCACAACGCCTGTGGCTGGCCAGTCAACACCCAGTTGCTCCTCAGAGTGGAATGAAAGAAAGAAACACTTCTCTCAGCTACAAATGTTGTTTAGTCAAAGTGAGCCCAAAAGAATCCAAAGGTGGACTTCAGAAATTTCTTATCTTCACTGTGAAGGTTGGATTTTGATCTGAAGCAAACCATCAGCTTTCAGAGGCTGTGGCTGATGCACTGGGGGGCAGGGGGTACTGCTAGGGTTAGCTTTTGCTTCAGAAAAAGAAGGCAGTGAGGCATGCCAGAGTGGCTTTTGCCTTTCAATGGCAAGGATGCCGCTCGCTCCTCTTAAGGGTTTAAAATAATCCTGCCTGGTCAGACCTGTGAGAAGGATAAACTCTTTATCCACTTAGACACCACAGCAAGAAACTGGTGGTCAGGAAATATGGAAATGTAATATGACTGTTTTTATTTATTTGCACATTTTTTATATAATTCAAAAAAGTACCTTCTGGGTTATTTAAAAATATATATTTAATAAGGCTTAAGAAAATAAGTTTCCCCTTTCCTGTCTGAGTTTTCACTTATGATATATCTATTGTCTATATCTATCTATCTGTTTTTGAGATTGGGACTCACTATGTAGTTCAGGCTGGTCTTGAACTCACTATGTAGCCCAGGCTGTGCAGAGATCCTCCTGCCTCAGCCTCCCAAGTGTAGAGATTATAGGTGTACACAACCTCACCCAGATCACTTATAATTCTTAAAATTCATTTTCCTCTCAAGATTAAGTGGTATCTATCTATCTCTCCAAGAATATTCTGCAGGTGCCTTTTCTTTTGCAATTTTTTTTTTTTTCTGTATTTAGTACAGGGTCTACAGAGTCTCACTATGTAGATTGGACTCATACTGATTCTCCTGTTTTCAGCCTCCCAAGTGCTGGGATTACAGGCACATGCTACCATGACCAGTCTCAATTGCCATCTCAGCTCACCCCAGGGGTGGGGTCTGCATGGCACAGCAGGGATCAAAACCCTGTGCTCTGCTTAAGCAAGCCTTTAGTCCACTGAGCTATCAGGCTGGCCCTAATTTTGACATTTTAGTTTAAATTTTAATAATATGTTTAATATGCTTATTTACTTCTGTTTAAAATCTTTCATTGTATTTGTTCTAATTAATCTTTTAATTTTTTTTTTTTAAATCTTCTTTTTCTTTCTTTGGTGCTGGAGATTGGAAACTGGACTTGGGGTCTCATGCATACTATGCATGCCCTATATACACCAGATCCTTTACTTATTTCTACATAATTTTATACATAAAATTTTTTCCTTTTTTTGTGTATAGTACAGGGTCTACAGGGTCTCACTATGTAGACTGGACTCATAGTGATTTTCCCATTTTCAGCCTCCAAGTGCTAGGATTAGAGGCACACACCACCACGCCCAGTCTCAACTGCCACCTCAGCTCGCCCCGGGGGTGGGGCTG